CACACACGCACCGAGTCGATATGATAGGCACGGCTACAGTGTTATGCTATAATACAAAGGTATACACTGGTCCTTTTTTATCCGTTCAGCGGAAGTTTCCTGCGCTTTTGTTCCCGTATTGACAAACCATATCCGGTGCTTCTTAATAATAAATTGGTTGCTTTTAAGAGCAAGGGGGCTGTCCCGAAAAATGCTATTTCGAGAATAATCAAAGGTAAAGTTTTTGGATCCTTATTCAGTTTCATAAAGAGACAAGGAAAGTTTTCTCTATAACCAAACAAATATACTCACCAATGAAACCAAATTTCTACTATAGGTAGGGTACTGACCATTTTTGATGTAGGTCAAGATTTCTGGAAACCCCTGATATCTGGGTTAGCCCGCTTGTCCTTAAAAGCGACCAATTATTCTGTGGCCACGGTAAAATAAAATGACTGCTGAACACGCTGTACTGAATGAGAGATTAATTACCAGTCAGCATTGTTTTCCCACTATGATTCGACGCACGAATGGTAACCTGCATTTGAGAATTATTAAAATTTTGGATCTGTGTTATCTAGCTATTTTAAAATTACAAAGTTCTATCTGACATTTTTGGCCGTTTTGAGTTACTAAGATCATGTGGTCAGAAACCAAATGTTGCATCTCCTCTATCAAAATCATAAGATTATTCGGAGTCGTTATTAAGATGTTCAAAGAATTGCATTCGAAAAAGCTCGGCATACTGTGAAACTCAAAATAATTTACGTCAAATTTCTCAAAATTAGGTACGGTGCAGAAAGAACTTTGTAATTCTGAGATAGCGATTTATATAAAGTATGGCGTTGTTCTGAAGGGTTTAATATTATGAGACCGCGATTTATATTAAGTCTGGTGTTGTTTTGAAGGGTTTAATATTATGAGAGAGCGATTTATATTAAGTATGGTGTTGTTTTGAAGGGTTTAATATTATGAGACAGCGATTTATATTAAGTATGGTGTTGTTTTGAAGGGTTTAATATTATGAGAGAGCGATTTATATTAAGTCTGGTGTTGTTTTGAAGGGTTAATATTATGTCATCAGTAGTTGTTTTTCAGATGCAACTTTCCATTTAGAAAGTTATGGAGGAACAAGGATTGAGAACACAGACGGACGTACGTTGCTATAGCTTGACCGATGTAGAGCAGCTAGACGCACGCGCGAACACA